GTGTGTGTGTGTGTGTGTGTGTGTGTGTGTGTGTGTTGGTGTGTGTGAAGGTCTGGAGGTGAACTTCAGGCATCATTTCTCAGTTGCTGTCTACCTTGTTCGTTTTAGAGACAGGGTCTCTTAGAAGCCCGGAGCTCCCTGGTTAGTGTAGGCTGAAAGCCCCACAGCCCTAGAGACCCATCTTTTGTGCATGTGTGAGTGCCTGCTGCATGCATGTGTACCTCAGAGACCAGAACTGGAGTTACAGGCAGTTGGGAACTGAACCTGGGTCCTCTGCAAGAGCAGCTAGTGCGCTTAACCACTCAGCCATCTCTCTAACGTGAGGTTGGTTTTCTAAACATGGGTTTTAGAGATCTAACTCGGGTCTCTCCGTCAGTCAGGATGGACTTTACAAACTGGCTCTTTTCCAGCCCTGGAACCCTCTCCCTGTCTTTTGAGAAAGATACTATGTCCTCCTGTGGCTGGCCTCACACGCACAGAAACCCACCTGCCTCTGTCTCCGAGTGCTGAGATTGAGGTGTGCACCACTGCGCTTGGCTGGAACCCTGTTTTCATTGCTCATAAAGTGGGGTGTCATGCTTTCCACTAGGTAAGGATTAGAGTCTATCCTGAGACAAAGCTCTGCATGGCTGGTAATAAACGCTTGGTAAGGGATGGTTCTTTTCCTTCAACCCTTCCTACAAAGACATCCCACTCAGGCAGAGGACAGGGAGGGAGGGAATCCCTGGTGTTGAGAGACCAGAAGGACCCAGGCTCACCCCGGAAGCAGCCTCGAGTAAAGTTGGCCACAGTGCAGGACTCTCCAGCTCTGCATCCATAGGGCTCACACTGCAGGATCCCCTGGCTTGCACAGGTGCAGTGCTGGGAGCAGTCATCAGTGACAAAGCTGTCACCCAGCTGGAAAAGAGGACGTGAAGACAGGAGACATTCTAGATTCACCCTAGATCTCGTTCTCTCCACCTGGATTCCCGGGCCCCTATGCATTCCAGACCTTGTAATAGGTGCCATTGGTAGAGCAGCCACAGTGAGTCACGGGGAGGCTCTGGGTGTCACTGTAGATGTAGCCTGGGATGGCAGCACAGCCTTCCACGCAGGGACCATCGCAGACCTTGGGAGTCACAAATTTGGCACAGGATGCTGGGCAGGGCGTCATACAGCTCTGGTACACAGTGTTGGCAGGGCATGTCATCGCTGCAGGGATACAAGCATAGTCAAGAGCTGGCTGGCCTTGGGGCCGCACAAATGAAGGGACTAGAGAGAAAGAAACAGGGAGTGGGGTATAAGGTCATTCAACAGAGCACAGAGCTCCCTGTAGACAGGGAAGCTAGGGCAAGAGGCCAGTTCTGCCTGAGGACTTGTCTGGGACACAAGCTGTTTGATGAAGACAGACCCACAATGGTAGGGCGGGTATAGGAGCATACAGGAATCCCAGTACTCAGGAGCTGAGGCAGAAGGCTCACCAGGAGTTTGAGGCCAGCTTGGGCTACAGAGTGAGATTTTTTTTTCCCTCAAAACCCAAAAACAGGGGCTGAAGAAATGGCTCAACAGTTAAGAGCACTTGCAGATTGCTTCCCGTTCTGCTCCCGGGGCCCACATGGTAGCTCACAACCATCTGTAACTCCAGTTCCAGGGGATCTGACACCCTCTTCTAGCCTCTGTGGGCAGAGGGGGCACATGACGTACAGAATGCATGCAGGCAAAGCAGTCATACATAAACATCAAATAAAAATAAGTAAAATCTTTTAAAAACCCATCACAAAGCATAAACACGGAGCTAAGGGATAACTGAGAAATAACTGGGTAGCTGAGGGATAGCCAGGTATGGTGGCATGTGCTTGTCATCCAGGTCTGCAGAGGCAGAGATCTGAGGATACTCGGGGCTTGCTAGGCAGCTAGCCTAACCTAATCACCCGGCTTTGAGAAACCCTGTCTTCAAAAACAAGGAGGGGCTGGTGAAATGGCTTAGTGGGCAAAGGTGATCTGATCTGGATTCCTCCCACATGGTGGTCGGAGAGAACTAATTCCTCAGTGTTGTCTTGTGACCTTTACATGTATGCTGTGGGATATGTGAACCCACACATACACACACAATAAATGTAACTGCCCCACCCCAAACAAACAAAAGGACAGGGAAATGGCTCCTGTTCTCTGGCATCCACACATATGAATCCACACACACACATGGGCACACACATACATACATCCAAAAAAATAAAGGAAGAGAAAACACAAGACAGAAAGCATGGCAGAGAGGAGGAGGAACGGGGTCAGACAGTGGAGGAGTAGGCAGGAGAGGCGCCACTCTGGAATCACTTGCTGCCTTGAAGTTAGGATAGAAGAACCAAGGCTGGGAGGCCATGGTGAGGGTGGTGGCAGCAGCAGAGCTGAACAGAGTTGGAGTCAGAGCCTCACCACAGTGTGTCTGGCCCCGCCAGCCAGTCATGTTGACACCTGCCTCCTGGCAAAGGATGGCATATCCACTGAGGACCCGGCATCTAAGTTCCTCTTCATCTTTGGTTTTCCAACTAGAGCACATGTCAGACATACAGTGCCTGGGGTATAAAGGGAAGGGTGGAGTAGGTGTGCTGTTAGAGAGGGGAGCAAGGAGATCCGGCCTTGCTGGAAAAGAGCCCAGGGTGAGGGGCTGGGAGCTGGGGATGTGGCTAAGCTGACTAAGTGCTTGCCTCGAAAGAATAAGGAGCTGTTTGATTTCTGGTATCCATGTTAAAAACAAGCAGGGTGTGGTGATGTTTTGGAATCCCAGAGCTGGCTCAGGGGGGACAGGAGGGTCCCCG